GGCACATAACAACAACAACAACATAGTCTGAATCAGGTGCATCATACATGAGGCCATATGACTGCTCTGGTTCTTTGTGGACCACAAACATAAAGAATTTGTTTTGAGATAATGCATCTACAATGCTGAAAGCATCTAGAGCAATGATTAAACCTTATGACCTGGAGAGCTACCTAGAACTCCAAAGGACACTGTAGAGGAGTGTCTTCTTTATTCTCACAGTTTAGAAGGATAGAAGTTAAAGATGTCAGCTTGGAGGAGGATATTCTCTCTATATATTCTCATTCATTCTCTCTCTCTGTCTCTTGAAGGAAGCACATTTTGTTCATGTCTGTAGGCCCAGCATTTGTTGGGGATCTCCATGTGTCTTGACCTCAGTGTCCACATTATTATTGTATCCAGTAGGTTTTCTGAGGCAGTAAATGACTGGGAGGAGATTGCCCATCTTCTTCCTGAGGAGCAATTGGTGGGTAGATTTGAACAGCTTACCTTGGAGGAGCAATTGGTGGATTTGAACAGCTTACCTTTGACAGTGCAACTCCTTACCAGTCAGCCACCAGAACTTTCAAGCATCCATGTTATATACATACATTTTGGAAGGACACAATTCAATCTATGATATTCCATCCTTTGAACCCCAAAATTTCATATCATTTTCACATGCAGAACACTTAGATGCCATCATACCACAAAAACCTTAACTCCAAATTCTAATTCTATTCTGGACAAAATGCCTCTTCCGTCTGTCAATCTAGAGTTCAAGTTATCTGCTTCCAGAATAAAATTATATCGGCACAAATTAGACATTCCCATTACAAATGGAATAAATGAAAGAGAAGGAAGAATAACAAGCAAAGTCAGATACCCAGTAGGACAATTTACATTAGGCCTCAAGGCCTGAACCATATTCTCTGTTCTCTGAGACCATCTTGGCAGTGACTGCTCTCCAGATTCAAGGTGTTGGCAGTTTCCCTGGAGATTTGCCTTTCTGGCTCTCTGGGAAAGCAGCTCAGCCCCCTTTATAGAAATTGCTTGGTAACAGCTGCTGGAGCAGGACAGAGGCTAGGCTTGACTGGCTTCATATCTCATACTTTAGGCATGTTGCTAGGCTATTTATTCCTTGGAGAGGGACATCACATCATGCTTGGAAAGATCAGCAAAAAAGAAAAGATCTCGATGAGATAGATTGACACAGTGACCTCAGCAATGGGCTTGAGTATGTAAGAGATAAGGATAGCACAAGAGGACAGGGTTCAGATCTGTTATTCATGGGTTGCTAGGAGTAATATTTGACTTGATGACACTTAATAACAACAGAAGTGGAGTTACAGTCCCCAAGTTTTCAAAGAGTTGGTTCTTTTCCTCAATTCTTGAGGATGGGGCTGCCATGACTGAGAGGGCATCCCACTCTGATAGTAAATCATAGCTCAAAGATACCCACCCAACTTTCTATTTTTGTTGGTTGGCAAGCCCAGCTCTATTGACAAGCTCCAAAATACACTTCACTTCTTTTCGAAGCTTACTATCCTCTAGCCAGAGGCCATCTTGCATGCTGCCCTGTATTGATTACCCTCTGTTCGCTCGTCTCTTGGTTCTGGTACTGTACTTGTTTCTCTCGAACTTTTTTTTTTTTTTAATCTTCTTTTCTGTGCTGATTCCCTGATGTTTCAGGTATCCTCTTTTCCTTCTGAGCCTTCACCAGAACTGCCTTTGGTGTGTATAATTCCGCCAATAGTCTTTAAGGCAATCTAGGTTTTTTACATTGTTATTGTTATGTGCTGTCAGGTTGACTATGATTCATACGTCCCTATGAACAACATCTCTGAACCCTGCCCTATCCTTAGCCAGCCTTACCATCTCTGACACTACTGACTCCATTTGCACAGTCACTGTGTCAGTCCATCTCATCTAGAATCTCCCTCCCTGCACTGACCCTTCACTCTTCAAGTATGATGTCCTTCTCCACAGACTAGCTCCTCCTGACAGCATGCCCA